AGTGTCCACTATCCAGACTTTTTTGTCTTTCTTATCAACAGTTGTTAAGTCTGGGGTGTTGCATAGCAGATGCTTGTCTGTTTGAATTTCAAAGTCTCAGAGCACTTTCGCTTCTTCATTTTCTCTTACTTTGTATGTTTTGTGGTCCCACCAGCTCTTGCGTGCAGGCCAATGGTATTTCTTGCAGATATTCCAGTGCACCATTGTTGCTACTTTGCATTGCTGTTGTTTGTAGTCAGACTGTGTGATCTTCTTGCAGCAGCTAACTAGGTGGTCCACTGTTTCTTCAGCTTCTTTTCAGAGGCGGCATTTGCTGTCTGTTGCTGTCTTCTCAATTCTGGCTTTATATGCTTTTGCTCTTAAGGCTTGGTCTTGTGAGGCCAGAATTAGCCCCTCTGTTTCTTTCTTCAACTTTCCTGGTCTTCTTGTTATCTACATTGCCTGCTAGTTTTGTTGTGTACTGGCCATGTAATACTTTGCCTTGCCATGTCTCTTTTCTGTTCTTCATTTGGTCTTTCTTCTTTCTTCAACTTTCCTGGTCTTCTTGTTATCTACATTGCCTGCTAGTTTTGTTGTGTACTGGCCATGTAATACTTTGCCTTGCCATGTCCCTTTTCTGTTCTTCATTTGGTCTTTCTTACAGGCCAGTTTGGTCTCTTCAGTATTCAGTAAGCCTTCATGGTGTACTAGCTTCAGTGCATCTTCTTCACTGTCCTTCAGATATTCTTCCAATGCCTTTTTTTCTTCTTCAACTGTCTGGTTTCCTTGCAACATTCCACACCCACCTGTGCTCCTTGGTAAGTAGAGTCTGTCAGTGTCACTGTGTGGATGAAGGGCATGATTCATTGTCATTATTTTTCTGTTGTTGTTGTTATTATTGTTATTATTATTATTATTTTGTCATGCCTGCAACAAAATGAATTATGTTATGCATTTAGCAAACATAGGAAGCTGCTTTGCGTCAGGTCCCTTCATCTATCTTAGCTAGTGTTCTGACTAATAACAGAAAGGCCAGATAAACTGGCATCTCCGGGTGTATGGGCTTCATCTTCCATCATCCTAGCCTGAAGAGTCAATGGCAAGCTAGTGGAGGAATTGTAGGCCAAAAGAACTGGACAGCATCCTGTTGCCTGTCCCTGTTTTAGAATTGTATGGATGAAGATATTCACTTAACAGGACATTTGGCTACAAGATTGTTCTATATTGTCACATTATTAATGTTTTCTTTGCTTTTTAAATTCATTTTTATCTTTGATATCTTGCGTTTTCAATTCTCTTTCAATTCACTAGTCACACAAGACAAGGAGTAAGTCCTATTGTGAGAATTAACTGATAAATTTGTTTTTAAAGCTTAATGTAAGTCTCAACACTGGTTATTCAACTGAATTACTCATTTTAAGTACTGTTTTTGTTACTTTATTACTTTTAAATATTTAAATAAAATAAATATTTTTTAAGTAAAGGTGAAATAATTGTCCTGTTTTATATCGTATTTCAAGGCAAGGCAATCCAGTGGCTTTGTTAGTTGGGTATTAGGGGAGCTGTAGTACAAGACTTCTGGAGTTGGGTAGATAGGGCCAACACTAGTTGTAGCACTAAGAAGTCATACTGTATTGTTGAGTAGGATCTATAGCTCCCCAGACTTTGTGATTTACTTCTGTTAGAAAACTGATGAATAGTAGGAAAATAGTTTTAGTCTGTGTTCTAACCTATAAGCCAAGGAGGAAGTCAGCATTTTAAAAACCTATGAATAATGATTAACGGGTGTAACACATACCTGAACAGAGACAGAAAAACATTTAAGTGTAAAGATTAGGTTTCTGGATAATTATTACTAACTTAAAACATTGACCTAGTGCACTTTGCTGGCAGTTTGTAATTGTGTTCCATAGAGGGTTTGGGGTTTGTTTCTCTCCATCCTTATGGTAACAGAAAACCAAAACCAGCCAAATAAAACATCACCTTGCCCATTTTTGTTTTGTTCTGTTTTATTAGAGCTTTTTCTCCTGGAAGAGCCATATTGGTAACAGAAATGTAGCAAGTGAAATTTTTCTGTGTGAGGAAAAGCTGATCCTGTTCAGTGCGGTGCAACTCTTCTAAGCACAAGAGCTTGGCCAGTTCTCTTAAACTGTAGCAGTGATGGGGTTGTTTGTGATTATGTATATTTGGAAAGCCTTAGTTCTAAGCTGGCACATAATAAAAAATAATATAACTATTCCTTTTTTCTTTTTACAGCACACAAATCAGTCAGTTTTAGGGCTGTTCAGTTATATTTATAGATTAGACTATACCTGGCCAAATTCCTGAGATGAGGCAGCCTTATCTTGGTTCTTCTCCTTCCCATGCAGTTTTGCTGTTCATTTCCTTTTCCCACCTGCTGTTCTATATCCTGGAGCTTCTTCTATATCTTTTCATTTTCTACTACAGAAGGCTTGGGGGCAAGAATGGTAGGGAAAATCAGGTAGAGGAAACCATAGCCTGTTCATGTCTAGTTAATTGAACATTGCAAAATGAGAAGCTCTTTATCTACCTTATTAGCAGTCTGTTCTCCTCTGCTTTTACTATTCCACTTGAAGATCTTCTCCGCGGGAAGGGCTTTACCATCTCCAGCTGAGTTTGAATGGACAGAGTATCAGCAACATAGATGAATTACATGAAGAGAACTGTACATTCCAGGTATATAATAAAATAGCTTAAGTAGTAATAATCCAGTGACCAGGGCCAATGGCTCATGGGTTGTTAATACAATGTTGGTGTTATTATTACTTTTATACCAAGAAGAATTTAAATATTCATGGTTATCTTTGCTATATGTTCTCATGGGGTATCATTCTGCCAAGTTAAGTTGAAGTTCTTTTCCTGCACTTGTGATATAGTTCTGAAAGAGCATTCATCTAAATGGGATTTCTGTCACTGTAACTAGATAATGGAACTAGATAATATTAAGACATGAGTGGTTCAAGGTATATGCAAAAGCAAAATAGAAATGCAAGAAATCCTTCAATTAATCAGAACTTTTAACATGCTGAATAACGTACAAGTACAATCTAACTTTTATTGTGCGTGATGAAGCCATCTTTTAACAGATTGCATATTAAAGGTAAGATGCTGTTCTGCAGTTCAGCTAGCTTAAAAAGATTGGGCCAACCCTTGGAGAGGTATGAATGGAACATATACCAAGTGAATAAAACAGAGATTGCTGCTCTTTGTTTTGGGGACCTGGGACCTATAGACATGAAAAAATAATTCTCTCTGTAATAGTTGTGACAACGTAGATAGCCGCTGGCTGTGACCGATTTGGGGAAAGCCTCTATCAGGTGTTCCATTTTACTGCTTTCTTTTCCCTGACAGTATAAAAAATGTCCAGAGAGTGTTTTGAAAGGCTGATCTCCCTTTTCTGACGATCAGCATGACATGAAGAATATTCTGTCTCCTTCTTAGCAGGAGATGCATGGTCTGTAAAGGATGGTGGTTCTCTTGGAAGTTCATTGAAAATTATATAGGCTCCCTGAAAATCAAGCCTAAGAAAGTTGAATCTGAAAGGTCTCCAGATGGGGTTTCTGTGGATATGTTCTTTAATGTTGCTGTAATAGAGATATCATTGCCTGATCTTGGAAACTACGTTATATATATCTAAGAACAGGTGGACCCATCTAATTTTTCCAATGTTACGTGCATTTCACTTTATATATACTGTGTGTGTGTGTGTGTGTGTGTGTGTGTGTGTGTATATATATAATTTTTTTCCATGTTGCTGCTTTTTAAAATCAGCACTAAATTTTTGCATATTTTGGAACTTTTCTCTAATATAAGTGTATTATTTATGAGCAGTTTTAAGGAGAAAAAAATACCCAATAAAATTCAGAAAAGTGGATAGTACCATGCTAGATTGCACTGTAATTGACCTACAAGTTTGCAAATACTTAGTGACAGAAAAGAAACATGCATAACGAACAGCAAGTATCAGCATTCCCACTGTTTTGCTGGGGTATAATTAGGAGCCCATTGTTATGTTAAACTAATTTTATTGGAATGAAGACACTCAGTTTAGGGGCTAGGAGCCCACTGAAACTGAACGAAGCATTCAATTTTTAAGAATAATCAAATGTAAAATGTATTCTTCTCTTAATAGTTCTCCGTTGCAGAGACACCTGTGGTGTTTCATGTGAACCCCTCATATGGAGTCCCAGGTAAAGAAATGCCTTTGAAACTGAAATGCTAACATAAACAGCACCCTAATAAGTCAGCATCTTTGAACAAATTAGTAGTTGGCAAGAAAAGATTCCTGACTGCATTTCTTCAGCCCATGGGGGAGGGTGGGGGGAACCCACTGGGACTTATGCGGAAGTTGCTAATTTGTCAAATGCTCCAAATGCAGCTGAGCAAATAGGCCAAGCTCTCAAAGAGAAAATATAGCACCTCACTCATATTGCTGGAAAATTAGGGCTGAAGATCAGGAGGTGGAAGACATTGCTGGAACCTGTGTATTCATAGTTTTCCTGAAAGATGCCGGTATATTTTACATTCTGCAATGCTTTAAGTATGTTCTTTCATAATGATATCTCACAAAATGCTTTTAAGAGAACAAAATGAATGTTTAAAGCAAACAAAAGAAATGGCAGACTATCCAAAGACATTTTAATGTATTTTAATGAATTCAACAGTAACTAATTTTACATTCTGAAGCTTAAATTGATCTTAAATTCAAGGGGAAAAAAATTCAGATCTTTCAAAATGTGTGGGTACCACAGCAGCTGGCAGCACCGAGGAGACCTGATCTTGAAAAAAATCTCGGTGTTTGGATGAGAGTCCCCCAAAAACCCCACAACTAAACTGTGAAGTTCACATAACATCCCAGAAGTAACAAACCACTTATTTACTTATTTATTTATTTATTATTTATATATCACATTTATATAGCCACCCATCTCACACAAAGTGACTCTGGGCGGCATACAACAATTAAATAAAATAACAAATAGATAAAAA